TAATTGTACTCTGCTTAGTCTGTTTACGAAGAGACTAAGGGGGTCGTCAAAATGATGGACTTCAAATACTTTTCGTTTTTCGTTCATCATCATCTCTATAAAACCTAAGGTTCACATATGCATTTTTTATAATTAATACAATCTAGGTGCAGTTTTAGGAAATTTTCAACATTTAGAGAATTCGTTCATCGGTTTATGAAACGTAAATATATGATTTTGTTTGATGAAAACAACCCTTCGATCACCCCAGGTCACAATGAAATCAGATGTGAGATCAGCTTCTTCTCTTTTAGATGAAAATGTTTTCTTCAAGATTGGTTCAAATCGCTGGTCTTATTGATCGCGGAGCGTCACTTAGTTGTGATAAGTTGCGTTTTTTTGTGAATGCACTAAGAATCATAGTCTATACAGAGCTTGGCACAGTGAAAGGAGACTCACTTAGCCTTGGACGATAAGCAAAGCCTAAGTCATGGGTGCTATAACGAAAAACAACCCAGGATTTGAGCAGCAGTTTTCAATAATTCACCTTACCAATAAAGAACGCAACTTTTAGAAGCGGAAAACCGAACATTTTTTAAAATATTAAATCGATAGGCCACACTGCGAATTTCCCACTGTTTTTTTTTCGCGTTCATTTTGATGTGAATTTTTGAGACCAATTATATTAAATAACACAGAATGAACAGTGGAGAGTGGAATCCATTAGATCAACGTTCGCGAGCACTTCAGCATCAAAATGATTATACAGCAGTAACCATCGAAAATGTTTGAGCTATAGCAATGCCTCTTAGGTTTGAACAACGATATAGATTGTTTATCGTAAAAAGTTTGTAAGTGAGGTGCCTTTAATATCATCATCAAGAAAATAAAAATGTTTGATCGTATTGTACCAAACACAAGCTAAAGTTGATACTGAAACCGACCGGAGATTTGTTGTCATTCGTTGGTTCGGAAGACTGATGGCTAAGTATTGGGTGATGCTAAGCATTAATGGATAACGACAGGCGGAGGGATCATTCTGTGAAGTAATTGCAGCGTACACGACAATACACTCGAAGCTCGTATAATTTTACCTTTTTTTAATCGATTCTAGTTATTTATCCATCTCCTTATTATGATTCTATCTAGTCTATTGATGCTCTGAAGAAAGAGACTGGTCTTACCAACTGATTCGATTCCATTAGATCAATAAATTATCGAATTTTGTAACTTAACAAACATAAGTGCGGAATGTAATAAAGTGAATAATCTTTTGGAAAAAGTAGCTCTGTACACGTTCAATAAAAATCATGGCCGCTCAGGTCTCAACGAACATTACATCCAGTTTCGCCCAAGTTTGTGGTTTTCCTAGGTCCAGTTCGTAGATGAGCCTTGTATCCACCAAGGTTTATCTCCTATTTTGAAAAGGTAAATTTAAATCTGTTTTCCCTACAATTCAGATTGTTGTCGGCTGGTATGGTGAGAAGACCAATTGTGGATAATTATTCTCCTGTAATGGTATGCCAGTGAGTTCAAAACACCCACATTTGCATTTCGTGATTTGCTCTGGTGGTATTTCGGTCAATGTCAAATAATTAAAAAACGTCTCATGTGAATCACACAGATTGTTCGATATCGTGCATTATAGGATGGAAAGCAATCAAAACAAACGAAGATTATGATGGGATAACGATGTTGAATTACCTGGAATGAGAGCGTGGTGGGATGAACCAAGGCACAAAAATTCGTATATTAAGAGATAACAATGGTAATAATACATTCCTAAATATGTAATATTATGCATACTAGTTTGCAAGCAAGATCAAAATGGTACAAAAGCTACATGCAATAGTATCACGTATATTCTACAAAATTTGTAGCAACAAAACAAAGACAATATAACTGTAAAAAGTCCCGAAAATAAATAGCCCTTCAAGTTTTCGACATTGGATGTCAACCACATTAGTTTTAATGGACTCACCTATGTGAAGCCGCTCGGTCATGCATCCGCATCAGATCACGAGTGAGAACGCCATGCTCAACATCCCTTGCAATCGCTAGCCAGATTACATCGGCCGATCAATGATATATTGATAGCACAAAAATCAGTAAGAGGATCACCCTACCGTACATACAAGGAATATCAGAAACCACAACGAGACTGCTGAAAACCTTCGAGACAGGTGTGACACACAAACCAACAAAATCACTACAGTCAATTTCATGCAAACCAAAGGATGAAATAACAAAGGAAGACAAATCAAACATCATCTACAAAATAAATTGTGCCAACTGCAAAAAACACTACATCGGACAAAGCGGACGCCCCCTCCACCTACGCCTACATGAACATTAATTGACAGTCAAACGCCATGATATCTCTTCACTTATATCAATACACGTTGATAACTATGGACACTCATTCGATTGGGAAAATGTAGAAATCTTAGACAGAGGAAACTTCAAAAACACTAGAGAATTTTTAGAAGCCTGGCACTCAGGTCAATCAGCAATCAACAAACATATTGAAATCAATCCAATTTATCAACCAATCAGAAAAATCATGCACAAATACAGGAACAAAAATCAAACCAATGGGAGACACAACCAAAATAAAGGAGTGAAAAATGACAAATTTGAGGTCAATACGAACCAATCAACGTCGAGGTGTAAAGAACAAGCTGTGGAACGCATATGGAGAAAGTTGAACAATTCACTTCTATCTGAAGCTTGTGCTGATGATGTCGTTCAGAAGAACGATGAAAGCTTTATGACCAAACCATCCAGCTCAGAAAACAAAACTCCACCAGAGTCAATAGTTCATATAAACACTAAATCCGCTATTGCAATTCTCCTCAGATTTACATGTGCCTGTCATAATGTGTATTGGATGTAAATTCTGCATGATCTGGAATATACTAATTATTATTAGAATTAGTAACTGAGATTTCAACGGCTCACCTAGGCCCTGGAATTGTATACAGTCACCATGTTGTTTATGTTCTGAAATCACTGAAATCTAGAACTTGAACCACAGGTGATTCATCACTTTCTCCCCCCTCCACGAAAGAATGTAGGGTCCTTACGTCGCAAAGTTATGACCAATTTAATGTTCCCAAGTTGCTCACACTTTGACCGTTGTATGCGAGTATTTTGAGATACATGCCGTTAGTGTGCTTAAACAGTTCATCTAAACCATCTCGTTTTATAATGACAAAAGTGTCCCTTACAAGTCTTAACCAGAATTTTGGTGGAAGGGAGCACATTGAAATTGTACTTTTTAATATCATGAATAATCTGTTTCATTGAGGTTCACCATAAGGTTTTATTTTAATAATTTACCCAATAAGCTTGTCTCAAACGTGATTCAGTAAAATCTCTTACAGCATATTTCAAAGTTATTTACTCACTGCATCCGCCCTGGAGGCGGATGTAGCGGTGGTGTAGCTGGGTAGCAACTTCGTTGCACATCTTAGATGGTCGACGGAGATCAGAATTATAGACCATTTTGTTGTAACCTGAATTACTGGGGTCTCAACTTGAGGTTCACTTAACTGCGTCGAGCAACATGATCTGAATGTTTATTTAAATGAATTGCATAAACCTCTGTAGTTTGGATACGCAGGTGCATACACAAAATACACACGTTCCGTCGTACAATGGAAACGCTGTTGTACACTCGAGCGTTGCTGCTACCTTGACGTGGTTGTCTGGCTTGCCTGACCTGATGAAACAATCGAGCTGTACTGACCGGAGCAATCGTTCCTCAAGGTCCTACCATGTCAGATAGGTTGTTTGAGGAGTGGTAAGACTAAATACAGCAAAACCAAGATCCGAAGGCGAAGTCGTACTGCTAACTGTGCAGGAGTGTGACGGCAGTAAGGTCTTTCCTTCAAACGATCAACACAACAGTGATGCTACCTACCCACAAGGAGAGTTGGGGTTAGAAGGGGTGGACCCTAAAAATTCACACCTCACATTATCCTACGGATTTCCGTCTCCCGTCCTGACAAATACAAAGCTAAGAAGAAAACTTTTCACAGAAAGGTCGTGTGTGACCGTTTTCAAACATTTTTCCTTTGGGCAGTGTGGTCATTTCGTGCCTCTAGATAACCCTTGTGCTATCGATAAGAGAAACCGGACGAATAGTGGATAAATCTTTATTTAGATCCTCGCGCAATCACAGTGGAGCGTAGAATTATTTGTTCAGACAAACAAAGCCACTCAACATTCAATATAAGATAATAGAAAGTATAACGCCTATACAAAATAAGGAAGTGAATGAATACTTGAACTATACTGTTTTGACATATGCTTAGTTGTTTGAGATGAACTCTTAACCAACCAAACTAAGCTGTTACAGTCACGCTCAGGTCACTGAGACTGTCACTAATACATCTCCTATGTGATAATGCTTATGCTTATGTGTGTGTTATGAGATGCTGGGCGGTAGCCGTGGGTCCAATAATATGTACGTAGTGTGTAAGAGACAATCTGTTGTAGCAAATGCTTTCCAAAGGGAGCGGTGAACAACTACCCTCTCATTTGTGTGAATATACCCATATGTGTGCTATCGGGTGCATGGGATAAAATCTGAGTGTTACCGCTGTTCATATAACGTATATTTGCTCACAGGATACACATGCTTGTGTGCATATCGAGGGGAACTGATGTGAAAGTTCATGTGTTACTTAGTATTCATGTAGACCATATCCATTTATGGTACGTAAAACACTCGAAAAATCGTTTGCATACTCCTCTTGGTAAGGAACACACATGCAAAGGTCTGCCAATCGGCGGTTTACCACAAAATCACATTCACACAGTGGGTTTGTGAGCCCAGAAAACAGTATTTTTCATACCTATCTTATATTTCCCAACTTTCTCATAGTTGACACCTTGCCTGAAAAAATGACTGATATAAAGCCCACTTAGGCAAGCGATAATTAGTATAGAAGTTGTTATACCTCAATTGTAACTACAAACAACTATTCGGAACTACTTTATGAGATCCATTGTACATTTTCAAATTGCGCATTCTGTAACGTGCAGAGCGGTGTATTCAAAGTCCACTCAAAACGTTCTTAGTCCTACCTATTTTGCTACGATTCATGCTATCACATTGATGGATCTACTTTAAAACGCTTGAATCAAACACTAAACTTCATTGAATTATTATCTATTCAAAGTTTGTAATAAATATGTACTCTGCTCCTGACAGTCGCCTTGGTTGTTCGAGCATATGTGATGACCAGTCAGTTTGCCGAGACTATTTGCGAAACGTTTGTAAACGTGGCAAAAAATGCAAGTTCAAACATCCATCTTTGGAAGAATGTGAAAGGCTACGGTGAGTCTAACGTGAGCTACTAACATATGTTCCTTTCGATGACCTAGCCAGTAAGAGCAGCTGTTGTTACCTAGGTTCCTGTTCATGTTACTAAGTTATCATCATGAAATCAACTAATAAATTTTTGCCTCAGTTTTTATCTATCAGGAAATAGGTAGTTCAAGACTTCACTGTAGAGCATTTTGCGGTTTGTTATTTTCCCTCGATCTTACCATATTACAAACATCGACAAAAAGATTTTGCGAGTTGTGTTTATGAACACCTCTTAATGTAATTTAAAAATTATCTTCATGAATTACTCGGGTAGACGGTTTTGAAATCCTAATCGCGATATATGGGTGGCCGTCAATTCAGTTTCGTTTTCTTATTTTAAGTTACACTGGAGTGCATCCACCATATTTGTATTGCTCTGTCATTACATAGTTGGTAAGCCTCTAGTGTTATTTTCTCTCATTGAAATTATAATTGTCCATATACGCTACTGCTACCATCCATATTCACACAGCGTTTTTTGTGCTAATAGTTAGCGAATTCCTACCAAAGGATACTCTGAGCAATGTTTGTTTGGTGTTTCTGTAACATTTAACTTTTTCGTAGATATGCTTCAATCCGTAATACTTCTCAAGTGTCATCAACTTATTCAAACACTCATTAACGTCAAGGCGATTTGACAATCAAGCACAAGTTTTGGTACTTAGCTTCGACTTTAGTGCATTTGTCAATACTCCGGCTTCCGAAATTAATGTAGTTGAAGAAGGATTTTCATATGATCACTTATGGCTTAGTCGTGTACTGTCTTTATTAATTTGCCATTACATCTCTCAAAAACCAGTTAAATAGATGGAAGCACTGAGAGATTGCGTATAGTATACTTATCTGTCTAGCAGTCCTACTTTTCACACGACAAAGTGAGTATTACTCTGTTGGGCAAACAAACCAAACCAGCCGATAAAGTTGTAAGTCTTTGTAAACCAAAATAATCAGGACATACAACATTCCTTTCAAATCTACAATGTGACTTCGATTTGTCATAGCGAAAAATGGTCACTTTATTCTCTTCTAAACTGTGGCTAATTTAGCCAATGCATTTTGTTTGTTTTCATGTCGTTTTCTAGTAACATTACTGCATTTTCATTCTTTAGTCTCCTTTCATAGGTTGTCTAATAGTTTAGACTATAAAAGATCCTACTTTGCTCCTGTGCCTGTTGGAATGTAAGTATTTGTAGACCATTGATCTAGTCTGAGTTTTTCGAAGTCAGTCAGCTACAACGTAGGACCAGGCACATATATGCATCGGTCCAGGTTGCCATACCTCATTAGCACAGCAAGATGAACACCGGATTCATAGGAGTGGTTAGGTTAAAGGTGGTAATATGTAGGAGAAAGATTGCATATAAGTACAGTACCGGAATATAGAATTAATTCGTAGAAAGAAAGGCAGTGATCTGGTAGCGATTATCCAACGAATTGAAGTGCTTAAGTAAGCATTTCGAAACACTGATATTGTCATGAAAAGACGGATACTTTAAAAGATTTTTGAACTAATCGAACTACATTTTAATGTCGTATCCACCATTTCATCTGTTTATAGTCAGTGGATCTTGTCTTAATGCAATTTTTTAAAAACATCTGTTTTTATGACGCAAAATTTGGATGCTAAAACAAAGCTACCTGCAATGTGTAGATGTGTATTTCACAAATTTGTGTCCGTACCTTGACATAATGTTTACGAACATTAAGTGATAAATTCGGACATTCGGAGCTTAAAATAAAATAATGGGCATAAATGGATCATTCAGATGATGGGAAACCCTTATTTCCAAAAACTATGAATATAGTCTATTACTGTTGAGCTTATTTTTCAATATTTTTTATTTTGTTTTGATACTGAGAAAGATGATGTTTTAGTTATTGATCCTCGGTATTTCTTATTGCAGTCGATTTGACAAAACGTTCTGCCACGACTTCCAAAATTCAACATGTCGCCGACCAAACTGCAAGTTTTTACACTACACAAAAGAGGAAGAGGAAATGTTTCGACGCACTGGTTATTTACCCAACGATATACAATGGTCATATCGCCCTGCTTCAAGCACGTTTGATGAAAAAACTCCAATTTGCAAGGTAATAAGTTATAAATAAATGATGCTCTTGCCATTTGACTACTAGTTTTTCAAACCCACTTATTTTAGCATCTAGATCGTTTAATGTTTTCCTTTCATCCTATTATCTTTTTGTCCTAGTACTGAATTTCAGTTAGTTTTAAATACTTCAATGAACAATGTGTAAACTGTTGAACACAAGAGATAAAAAGCAGTTTCCCACTTAGATCAAACAAAGCTTGTGGAATCATATCACACTTACCGAGCCATCCGCTTTGTAGTTCATTTTCAGTTAGTGAGAGCAAAACAGTATAAACATCTGACTAATCATATCACCATCCTGTGATGTTTGAGATATCTGAGGCTTATGAACAATTGTGGTTTTCAGAGATAAAATTTCCGCTCCGTAACCCTGACTGATATAGGCCAAAATTAGTCTTAACGATACATAAATGCCATTATCTGTCTGTAAATAGTAAATATCTTTGTTTCGCATCTCCCTTTCCCTCTTCATGTTTTATTAATTACGTCTATATCCTTTACTGTTGGGTTTTAATTACTCTTCCTTTGCTTCACTGTATTAGTGCATTACAGAGTATACCAACCCTGTTACGTATAATTCTACCTCTTTTCTGTTTCTATCTCACTGCCACCTAGAGCTTCACATGATATATACTTCATGACTGATTATACTAAAAAACTGGTTGACTAAAGTACAGAATTCATCTGTATTGGTGAAATATTATGTATTATCATATGTAAAAAGGATACGTATACAAACGATGTACTTTACTCAAGCCACCATTGTGGCGTTTACATCAACTGTTATAACCTTTTCGAAGACAATAAGCCTCTAGATTGTTAGTCTTTTTTCAATTGTCTAGTGAAATAGTTACACAATCATACATAAAAATCACAATTTATTTTTCTATTTTCTGTACCTTTTTCGCATTGTTTTGTTTGTGCAGGACTTTTGTAATGGAACCTGCAATCGAGGATCAAACTGTAAATATCGTCATGTCACTGCACCTCAGGAAACAGTAAATCCGGGTTTATATAGTCAACCTAACTTACAAAAAACTGGTTTTATGAATACAAATGTATCGTCTACGCATTTTGATCCTTCTCTAGTAAATATTTCGAATCCAAGTAACCCATCTCCCTATGGTCAATCTTCTCTTATAAATAGGGCTGTAATCGTATCACCAAACGATTCGATTTTAAATCCCGTAAGTAATGCCTATATTCCCGTGGCGTCTTCTCATTCAATTGTCGGCCTTATCGGTAACACATCTACAGGACAGCCTACTTTGTATACACATTCTTCGCTTGTTTCAATAACAAGTGCACCTCATATTACTCCTTGCTCTTCCGTTATCACAGTTAGTCCTGATCCTACTCAACATCCGAATATACTACATCCTCAAACTGCCTTATCAGCACCTCACGCAACTTATCATATTGTTCCACATGATGCTTCGCCACATCACCATCATCATCTGCTTGCTACAAGCTCAAGTCATTCACATGCTCCTGCCCTATTAACTATCCCTTTATCTCAGTTCACTTGTAGTGTGAGTAATAATAGCTTGATTCAATCTCAAGCCACTATCACTACGCAACATCATGCTGTTGTAACTGGTGTATTGCCAGCTAATTCATCAATATCAACTGCACCTGCAACATATTTTCCATCATATGGTGTTTTCCACATTAATCAACCATCATTAGAAACCCGTGACCATCAAAACCAACAACATCAGCAAATAACAACAGAAATACACAAACAAGTTCGTAAAGCTAAACTATCCAGTTCTTTAACCACTACACCAGTTACTGCCACTACAACATCCACAACTTCAGTTGCCTCTTCCACAACAGCTGTATTAGCTGCAGCAGCTGCTGCTGGATACATTGCACAACACCTACCAGTTATTGGTTCCACTAATATATCTGAAAGTGGTACAATTTCTCAGGATCTGAATAACAATCTTATATTGAATCAGTCGAAAGGGGTTAATGTTCATGAATCAGCATTGGCAGCGGCAGCAAATTTACCAACTGTATCAGCGGCGGCAGCTGCAGCAGTAGCTGCTGCCGCTGCATTCGCGCGTTCCACTTCTATGACTCAGAATTCTAAGGTAAGGATTGAAATATATTAATTAATACTTGTCACTCAATATGTGTACTACTCAAACTCTGTTAATCTTTTTTTAGGTTGTGACGTTTCTCACACTATTTTATGAATGTGAATATTGTCCTTTCCATCTGTTTGTTCAAAGTTAAATGCCTACTTTTTGTTGTCTGATTCTTGTATTCAGTCATAGTAAAATCTAGTCTTTTGAACGCTTTAATTAATTGTTTGAAATGTAGATTTTTCGCCTTCTATATACCACTTTCTATGTTAGATAACACAAAAGTATTGTTTTGATATTTATTATTTATTATTATTATTTGAACACATAAATATTAGTACAAGAGGGCACCAAATATATATGCGCCACACTTTTGTGTGAGGGCCGTGACGCCGCCCGGGTGCCCAAACCGAAGCAGGTGGTTTTCTTAGCGAGCCACACCCCGAGCCTTTGACCTAGATGTCTAACCCACAAGACAGTGGAGCATCGTGAGGAGATGCATTCCCATGATAGCCGGTGATCAAAAATTGGTCCATATGCCATTTGTTCCCGCAGGATACTGGAGCCCATGTGCACCATTGGTTTGAGGTCCGGTTAAAGCGCCGGACATTCGCTTTTCGCCCTCTCATTTTCATAAAAAACACCCCCGTCACGAGAAGGCCGTGATTAGGACTTCACTAGCAGAGGCTGTATACGCGTGGCTATGTGAGAGCATTTCGAGAGGGAGGGCGGGCCCACCCCACTCTCGGCCATACCAGGGCATCTGAGGGCAAGCGATAAAACTAAAGGCGATCAAACCAATACATGATCAATCCATAGGAATACTGGCTGTTAGATGACTGCATTCCACTAATTTCCTCTCACTCTTTAGAAATAACATTCTTTTCATTTGCTCTTTTTTTAATTTATAGCTTGGTTCTTACGTAATTTGCCTTAATAATCAATAATCTGATTTTCTTCGCACCCATTATGCTCATTGATTATTATTAATTTTTATAAATAACAGTGAATATTTATATTAAAAAAATTATTAACTTCAAACTTGTTCCATTTCTACTCTGATTGTTACGTAACTCCTTTTAATACTCAATTGATTATTCATTTTGATTTTATGTCAGTTGAATTGCTAACTGAAAACTATCTTTAGAGATACATTGATAAATTGATCCACCACTGTATATTAGTGTCAGTTGTATACTTAATTGTAAAATCTACATACTATTATAGAGATCCATGTGGAATTTTGGACGAAAGGTTTAGTCATGAGCGCGTCAGTGACTGTCCCAGTCAAGAAGCCTAAGTCGTTGAAGCCTAAAGTGCCGGCCAGTCACCCGCCCGTAATCAACATGATCACAGAGGCAATCTTGGCAGTTAAGGATCGTAAGGGCAGCTCACTCGCTACTATCAAAAAATACAGCCGCGAATTAATAGTTTGATGTTGAAAAGCAGGCAGCCCATATTCGCCGTGCTATAGTACATGGTGTTGAGAAAGATGCTTTTATACGAGTTGGAAACAAGAGAAAGGGTGCATCTGGTAGCTGAAAAGAAAATTGTTGATGCCGAACCCAAGGTTGCTAAACCGAAAACCAAAGTGCCTTCCACTGTTAAACCAAAATCAACTCCAAAGCCATTAAATAAATTAAATAACCAGTTGGGAAGAATTATTTCTTTAGTCAATGTGTATTTGTAATATCTCAGTGTGAATATTTAATATACGTCCATCGTTCAGTTTTTCACTGCAGTTGATATTATGATATCGTGGATAAGGCTGGATAGAACACTTCACGTTACAAGACTAAATGGTAAATTAGAAATACAAGTGTTAGAAATTTTAGTTATTCAAAGCATTATTTATCTGGCTCAGGTCATCGCCTATATTATCCATGTTATAGTGCCAGTCCGAACACATAAATACGGAAGAGATGTAAACGTCCGTATTCAATTGTTAGTATGTGAATTTCTGCACAGTCTTTATCTCTCCGTGTGGTAGCCTGGTTAAATATTTAGGGGGCCTACGTTAATAACGGGTTTAAGTTGTAGAGCACCAAATATCATTCTCTCTCTTTTCCCTTTTATCTTGTTGATTTTCTCTTGCATCTTACTGGTGTGAATTGTGTCAACTTTACATGTCTGTAAACATTTTTGATGTCTGTGATGACTTGTGTAGAAGAAAGATAAAAGTGGCCAAACTAAGATGTAGATACAGTCCTTAAAATCATTGACTGTTGGTCTGAGCATTTCAAGCAGGTTCAAATTACCTGGTTGCTGTTCGCGTGATTATTGTTACTGGATGACATGGCTCAAAATCGTTTGTAATGGCACAGGTGCATCCACTCTTTGTGCTCTCCCAAATTCTGATCTTCTGAATTTCTCATGTCCCTTATTTTCTTTCCAAATTTATTTCAATGGATTATACTCCTTGAATAACATCTTCAAACCCTAATCTTTCCGATTACTGCTTATACTCTTACTACCTCTACCACTACGGAATTTGAGTCGACAACTGCATCTCTGTGCTAATGTGGTATGGCAACTCAAACTGATGTACATACGTACGAAGTTCTACATTGTTACTGACTGACTGTTACTGATGGTTAAAGATATGGGTTACATGGCTTAGGTTCTTTCTCAATGTCTCAAACGTATTTATTCTTTATATTCCCTAAGATCCTAAGTTTCTAAATTACCTTGTAAAGATTTGTTCTATTTCATCAATTCATATATTCCGAAACCATATTTTTCATACCTTACCTTTTGTACTACTAATAATGATATTCTGGGATCTCTTTAAGCTGATATAGTGCGGCAATATGAACCGATGCACATATGTTAGGTTCAAAGTTGTATACGACTAACAAGGAAACACGTATGTTTATTCTTACATCGTTTATATCTGCGTATTTTTGTTAAGTTTTATGAGCCCTAATCAGTCCACTAATCTAGTCAACAAAGTAGAATACAATTTAGTAATCCCTGTTCATACACTAGAGACCCAGTTATACTCAATTAAATATGATCAATAAATACTGATATTCAATTCGGCCAGTAGTTGCTAAATGGTAGTAGTCGAGTATGATTAGAATTTGCTTTATGTGGGAATATATTTTACCTAATGAATCTTAATTTTTTGATAGAAATAAAATGTTAAATTCTTCCACATGTACATTTTTACTCTTAAATTACGTTTACACACTTGAATAAAGCGTAAATTCCCATTTCAACAAGTAAAAAAAGACGAAAAGAACAATGTCGTATATTTTCCAGCTATTAATTAATTAATTAAAGTTTTTAGATTTAGTATTGACAAAGTATCTATCAAGAGGGCTGACGAACTTTTCATAAGATATGGAATATTGATTTTCCCTTACTTAACAGTGTTCAGTGATGTTCAAAAATTCAATTATGAACTTGTCTATTTGTACACCACTTCATAACTTCCTTTCTGTGAACTAATTCTTTCTTCCTGTACTATGTCCTTATATGCAGTCTTTTTTTTTATATATTACCACCATTGAGTTAACTACTTCTATGAATCCAGTGTTCGTCTTGCTGTGCTAATGAGTGAGGTTTGGCAAGTTGGACCGATGCATGTATGTACCTGATCCTACGTTGTAGTTGACTGATATTTAAGGACTGTAGTCTCAAAATTGCTGGCTTTTTGGGAACTTTTATTTTCTTTGACATTGGTTCAACCTGGGTCATGTATTTGTTGATAAATTTTATTTAATATACATTCGTGTTGAGGAAGTTGGAATTTGTAATATTTTTACCTAAAGCATCACTGAATTAATATTAACTTTATTATTATATATTAATGTCCTCTTCTTTTACCATTCGAATCCTTTTTTAGTGTTGCCCTGTGATTCCCAATGTTCAAATAAAATCCAATGAATTGGGTCCTGAGTCCAATTTCTTTAGTCCTACTGCTAATATAAATACCGGTAATAGTAATACTGCTAATACTACTACTACTAATAATAATGCAACTTTAATTAATAACGAATCATGTTCTTGTCAAGATTCATCTTGTTTATCGAATATGAAACATGATAATAATATTAATCCTATGATGACGACAACTATAAATACAATAACTACTACTTGTACTCAAAGTCATCCAACTAGAGAATCCACATATGCATCAGATAATAATAATAACAATAACCCTAGTAATAATAACTCTAAAAAGCCTACATTATCATCGGAATCATCATCTATAGCATATCCAGGTTCTTCATCATCCGATTATTTAAATCCTACCGATGAAGAACAAGCTAAAACAGCCGCTGCTGTTGCAGCAGCAGCTTGTATAGGTACGTTAATATTTTGTTATGATAAATATATGTTTCCGACTTTGTTATTATTACCATTGTCATGTTCCTTTACTGTCGGGTAGTCTTTGGACATACTATACATCACTTGATTCTTTCCAAATCGGAACAAATATTGAAAAATCATATATATATATATATATATATATATATATATATATATATATATATATATATATTCCAACAATCCGATAAACAAAGATGCAATTGCGCAAACGTTAAAATGTCTATAGAATTTTCATAGGAATCTTCTAGTATCTTGAAAACATACCACTCACGGTGGTTCAATTTGATAAGATAAAAGAATACAATAGTCGGCTTTCTATTTTGCTAACAATCATCCTCTTTAAAATTGTTTACTTAAGGGTTCTGTTTGTCTTTCCTAATGATCAAGATTTTGACTTTATTATTAGTCTCCAAATGCCCTAGTACGGTCGAGAGGGGAGAAAGCCAGCTCTCCCTCTCGAAATGCTTTCAAATGGCCATGTTCATACAATCACTGCCAGGGAAATCCTACTTACTGCCCTCTTACGGCATTACTATTGTTTACGAAATTGAGAGGACGAAAAGCGAATGTACGGCTCTTTAACCGGGCTAGTGGATATAGAGGATTTACCTAGAGGAGTTGGAAAAGCCTGATTCCAAACCAATGATGTACATGGACTTCAGGATCCTAAAGGGAAAAATGGCGTATGGACCAGTTATTGGTCATCGGCTACCATGGGACTGCATGTCGTTACATTGCTCCACTGCCTTGTGGATAAGACCTATAGGTGGAAGGCTCTGGGTGCAGCCTTCTAAGGAAACCACCTACTTCGGTTCGGGCACCCGAGAAATATCCCAGGCCTCACACAAATCAAATGATTTATGTGGCGCATATCTATTTGGTGCCTCGTTGTACGACTGTTTATGTGTTTAAATAAGTTTAATTAAAACATAGTTGACTCAATCTAAGGATGGATTTTGCAATCGGAGACAACTTGGCAGTTTCAAGGTCACGGCAAATATGTCAATCACTTTATTAACTATCAAAGACAGTAACTAATTATAATGAGAAATATGTCATCAGCAGACACTTACTAAACTTTCAATTGTTAGGAAAAAACATTCCTCTGTGATTGGTGCTAAAATGGTTGTTTATCAGTTCAACGGAACTCATGTCGAAGTGATACTTCGTTCTATTGTTTTTTAGAATTAAAATTATCCTCTGCGAACAGTGTTAAATTTGAGACAAAGTAACCTAAAGCTAACTTAGAATGTTCGCTAGAGATTAAAAAACTATTTTATTTGTAACTTCTTATTTTGCATTATAAATCATTCACTGAATTTATCTATTTCCTCGTTGGATGAACTTGATCAGAAATTTTTTAACACTATTTCAGTAGTCTCTCAAGTTTTCTCGTATTCTTAAACTTCACTACATTTTGTACATTTAATGTGTGGAATACATTCTGAAGATTTTCACATTTCACGATGTCACTCAAATATCAAATCAATGTTGCTTCGACGTTTAGTTGTGCAATCAATTCATTCATTTGACCTCACTTTCGTAGTATGAAGAACGAGCACGATTTACCCTTCGTGTATCTGGAGACCCAATTGCTTCTTCCCATGGCCTTGTTGGTGTGGGTGTAGCATTAGTTTCTAAAACAGAAGTCACAGAGTGAATTCTAATAGACAGTCACATGCGAACTGTCCGACTAAACGAGACAGTAAGAACTCGACAAGATGGAGATATATGCCATTGCCTAATCGTTGTCTCTACCTACGCTCCCACTGCTTGCAGCTCAGATAAAGTTAAATTTTATAGAAAGCTGTCCAACTTTTTACAAAAAGCTGCAAATGCTGATGTGGTAATCGTGGCGAGGGATTTTAGTACACAAATGGGTCAACTAAACCAAACCGAAAGACACTTAGTCGGATCTTGCGACGTTTTGGATCAGCGAATAGATAATGGCTATCGTCTGTTGCAATTATCTTCAGATAATTGTCTATTTCTAGCGAACACCAACTTTAAACATAAGGCAAAATATGATTTGATTTGGCGACCACCACAATTGACTCATAAATGAACTGAAATAGATCACATTGCTGTTAGCCATCGTTGGAGGAGCTCGATAGAAGACTGTTCGTGATTCGGGAGCACTTGTTTAGACTCTGATAATGCTCTTGTTAGATCACTTATTTGTCTGTATCCTACTGGACGTACAAAAGCCACAGCCAGAAAACTCGACTTAATAATGAACAAGTAAAGAATATATTTCAGGAATAACTAAAGATGAGTGAATCAAATGTGAAAGTAATATCTACCCTAAATTCGTTTGGTATGATAGCCACCAAGCTATAGGAATAGCAGTGATGTCTACTAATAACTTACACCAAAGGTCATAGAAAAATCAGTGGGTTCCAGCGACCTTTACTATACTGACAGATGCTCGGAAACTCATCCCGTCTGGCTCCGAACACGATAAGGAGCAGAGGCAGCTTAAACGTAGTCTGATAAACAGTTTACATAATGATCGTGGGTGATGCTGGGTAGCGAAAGCAGAAGAGATAAAAAAAGGCAGTGGAAATATGTAACAAGAGCCAACTATTCAGACTTATTAGGGAACGTGTCTCACGTATGACCAACCATCACCTACCTCGATGGGCAATGTTTCCTGCTTCAGGAGTGGGCTGGAAGGAAGTTAGGGGTGGCCAAACCGGAAGATGGCATTAGTCCACGAAGTCATTTACAATTGGACTTAGTCATAGTAATAGGTGTAGACTACCTGGTTGGGGTCCGCGTGACTATTATAACCAATGTTTAGGGACTGGAAATCGTTTGCGATGGCGCAGGTGAACCTGTTCTTTGTCTTCCCCCACATTATAAATTCCTCATAACTTTTGTTTTTGTTTCACCAACTTATTTTTTTCTCTAATCGTATTATCAATGATACTATTACAACCTCTATTGTTCAGGGATTTGGCGTGACGTTGTCATCTCCTTATGCTATTGGGGTATGGGAACTTGAATTGCTGTGCATAAGTACCAGGCAATACGAGTTCTCTCTCTGTAATATGATGTGTTTCACTCAAAAATGATGAAATCCAAATAAAAGTCAGGGCAGGTGATAGGGATAAAATTAAACCACTGAGTATCTGTTTATCACGATGTTTACTTACCTGCTCACTAAATATAATTTCCAGTCACACTACTAAGAACTTGATATGAACTATTCAAGACAATACTATTATGTTTGACTACTTTCAACTTCTTAAATCGCTTACTACAGACAAACGTTTATCTCTGTTCATCATTCGTAAATGTCGACTGCTATTTTGTTTTTTTAATGCTTAGGTGCTATTTTCTCTCAACCAATGGCAGCAGCTGCCGCTGCTGCGGGCGGTAATGGTGGTAAGTCTGCTTCGTCTTCAGTTGCTGCCATGTTAGGAAATTTAATGAGTCGCAATCCACAAGATATTATTCAAGCTGTTCAGTCCTCTTCATCTTCATCGATATCATCATGTGGATCTTCACTCCTATCCAATTCATCTAGACATATGTGCTCTGTTAACAGTAAATATACTTCAGCATGTGATGCCGATAGTGCTGTATGCCGTTATGCACAACAACCACAATATTTTGCAGTTGATGAAAGGAATGTATATGATGGTCAAAATGAACAAGGCAATAGTATCAATGTAAATAATTCAACCGATCAGCATAATATTCAATCGAACTCTGTTAATAATTCTTCACTTATTTCGTCATTGGATCGTTGCAAATGTACAAATTCTTCATTGGATAGTCCATATTCTTTTCAAGATGTAATCACTTCAGATACAAATAGTTGGTCAAGGTAATTAATTATTGGATTTATTTGTTTATTTTTAGCCAGCTTGGTGTTAAACTTATTTCCTGAAGTTTGTAAATCGTTCAGTTAAATATAGCATGAAACCTGGAATATTTGGACATCGGTTCACGATTAATCATAGAGAAATAGAATGGGTAACAGTATCGCCGATAGTAGAGAAGATTAGGCATGAAAAACATGATTCAAGGAAAAATGAACTTCTTGAATCAAAAGTATAAAATAGTTTTAAAACTCAAGATTTGAGGAGAGAAAAAAAGTGAATTTGCCATCCAATCCCACCCAGCCGTATTACCAAACATCTCCAACTATTGATTTTAATCAATGTGAAGACCCTTTTTAGCTAATTTGCACCTAAATCCAAGGCCTAGTCAAAATTTCAATGACTCCTTGAGTAGTTGTCACGTCTTTGTGCTGAAGCCTTTAGATTTCCTCTAAATTACTCATATACCACCACACATTAGAGTCCGTAGGTATGGTATGTGTTCACACCTTCTAAGCGCAAAGTACTTTTAAAAGACTGACAGGACCCTAATCCTGCACTCACCCTGGGCAGTGAGCAGATAGAAGTAGTCGAGAAGTTCGTGTATCTAGGTAGCTGCATAAGTGCTGGTGGTGGCGTTAGTGATAAGATCAATTCACGTATAGTGAAAGCCATCTTTAGCGCCTTCGTGATGTCAGTCTGGGCGTAAAAGGTCGGATCTACAACACGTCGGTGAGAGCAGTTTTGCTCTATGCCTGTGAAACCTGGCCTCTCCGAATCGTGGATGTTAGATGACTCTCTGTGTTTGATCATCGTTGTCTCCGAAGGATTGCTGACATCCAGTGGCAACACCATGTTTGTAATGCAGAGGTTCGGGCACAGAGACGATAATTCACTTGGTTTCACTGTCTTGAAACATCGACTTCGGTGGCTTGGGCATGTTCTACGAATGTCGTCCCAGAGAATTCCACGTTGTGCATTATTTGCCGACTCTGGGATTGGTTGGAAAAGGTGAAGAGGTGGTCAGTGTATGACATGGTGTCGTGGTATGAAAGAAAGATGTACAGGACTGACTTCTGTTGGTCCTTCACGATTCCCTGGTGGGGGTCCTAGAGATGGTGCAACATAGTGGCTAGAGACGTTATCAGATATGGTTCAGAATAGAAGCCAATGGCTATTGTGCTGTAACTTTCTTTTACTTTCTTGTTAAAAAAAATACGCAACCTCCTTAAGTGGAAGAATTCTCTGTGGCTGCACTTTTGCTATTTCAACTGGCCCTCTCATTATTGTTATTTCATTATCATACACTAATTTCCGTTCATTGTTGTACTTCTTTTTTTCTTATACGCGCCTTACATTCTTTATATCTTCGCATTCTCATTACTGTTGTGTGGCGCATATATATCTATGGTGCCCCTTTGTATCAATATTTATGTATTCAAATAAATAAATAAGTAATACACATTCCACATTGAGATAGGTGATGATTGAACACATGTAATATATGTCCCAAACCCTTCAGTCAATAAAGATTCACTACTTCATCAACTGATTTGTCATTGTTACCCAATACTCATATAAACTGTTAAAGTTCTATGCAAATATTGATGTTATATAATCTATAAGTGTGATAGTGTAGAGTTCTTATGGTACATAACTTTCAATTACTAAGATACGAATTTGATCCCCCAATCCTTTTTTTTTCTGTTTATATAATCTTATATCGATGACATATGGCATAAAGTTGAATTTCTTATCTTAATAAGATAAATCTTATCTTACATATAAATATACTATAAGATATTAATTAGTAGTAGATTCCACAATGTTATTTGTCTATAATAAGACGAAAGAAAGAAACACTGCATAAATTAACACATTTACATTGTATTTAATTATGTTATAAATTTTGATCAATTGATCATATCATTTCATTATTCACTTTACTTCATATTAACACCTACTTTTGTTATTCGCTAATTTAGTATCCCCCTATTAAGTTAATTAAGTGAATTTGGATAATAACAATGTTTGTTTTTTAAAATAAAATTTGTTTTATGATTATTGTTAAATACAAACGTTTCTTTTAGTAGATAACATTCTCTTAAATCACTAAAAGTTAGTTAATTAGTAACATTGTCTAACTTACTTACTTACTTACTTACTTACTTACTTACTTACTTACTTACTTACTTACTTACTTACTTACTTACTTACTTACTTACTTACTTACTTACTTACTTACTTACTTACTTACTTACTTACTTACTTACTTACTTACTTACTTACTTACTTACTTACTTACTTACTTACTTACTTACTTACTTACTTACTTACTTACTTACTTACTTACTTACTTACTTACTTACTTACTTACTTACTTACTTACTTACTTACTTACTTACTTACTTACTTACTTACTTACTTACTTACTTACTTACTTACTTACTTACTTACTTACTTACTTACTTACTTACTTACTTACTTACTTACTTACTTACTTACTTACTTACTTACTTACTTACTTACTTACTTACTTACTTACTTACTTACTTACTTACTTACTTACTTACTTACTTACTTACTTACTTACTGACCAGGGTTCTCTAACCAACTCTGTCTTGGGATCTTCTTTCCAGTTGTTTCCAATTGCTATTCGTTCTTTTGATGTTAGCCTCCAATTCCTGACGCAATATGTTCTTTAGCCTGTTTTATTTTGTCTACAGGATTACAAGTTAAGTCATGCCCTGTGATGCTTTAGTAATTGTACTGATGCAAGTTCGTTATCTGAGTAACACAAGATAGTTTTATTGATTATGCTCATCAACACCTTACAGAGATGGTAAAAATATAGTCGTTCACCAAATAATGAGTGATAGTTGTTCAAACGGTAATAAAGAAATGTGGAGAAAAGCAGTATAGCTTCTGTGATAAAATGGTATGTTAGTTCATGTTGACATCTAATTATTGTAAATCCACAAGTGGACAGACAAAGAAACTAGTTACATTGACTGTAATATTCCTTGTAAAGAAGATTTTGAAAAGTTAGCTGACAGGTAAAATAAATGAATGGAAAATTAATTGATTAATGATGTACTATAATGCAGTCCGCTGATTGTTCACGTGTCCAAGTTATTGAAGAAAGCTTGTAAATGAACTGATATCAAAAAACAACACAGCTCTCAACAGAATAGGTTCGTTCTAGTGAAAATAAACATACCTTACATATAAAATGTGTGGTAAATGAGAAAACGTGGTCAATTGTTATTTATTAAGTACGCGAGTATTTTAGGTTACTCACTCTTCAGTGTGCTGATGATCTAAATGTCAGGTCAAATGGTTATCCGTCATACTGGCTTTCCTACTGAATAATGTGAGATCTTACTGTAGCAACACTAAAAAAACGGTTATTCGTTTGTTCACCTAAACCTTCGTCTAGAACTTCTACCACTACTAACATTTGAAACATCTGTCTATCATTGCGTTATAATCAAGAGTACATGAATTTCAGTCGATAGTTTTCTTAATCTTTCTATTAACCGTTCTATCGTCAAATAACATTAAAACAGCTATGGTTTAGATTTATTCATCATATCTGGCCCTGTATTACTGGACCTCCTTCCTTTTTGATAGCAATGAGCTTTAGTAATCATTTTATCAGTAGTTTAGATTTAAATTCGAACGTATTCACAGCCAGAGATAATCCGTTTTGGACAAAAACAGTGTACCTTTAAACATACTGAGCACAGATTTCGAAAGCGATTTCCTTTCTTAAAAAAATATTTATACTCATACCGACAAGACTTATCGTTGAGCTTAGGAAAAAACCCCACATTCCTTTAATCTCAGCCTCTTTCGTTTATATTGCTTATGATCTCTGATAAATAATATAAAACTTCTCCATTGTTTTTTTTCTTTAGTGTAACTACAACTATGGCCTCAGCTGCCAAAGCCGCGGCTGCAGCCGCTGTCGCTGCCACCGCCGCAGTAACTGGTTCAGCTAATTTCTTTCGTTTAACACAATTTAAAAATAAAGTTGATCCGCAATTGCATGATTTATTAATGGATAAAGTTACATCATCCATGTCATCTTCACATGAATCGTCATCCAGCATTTATAGCCCCTTACGTTGTATTGATCAGTCTAGAAATTTACGATCAAATTCTGACCATATTTCTTCATCTGTTGTAGTGAACGATACAGAACTTAGTGGTTTATCAACAAAAGAGGCTGTGACAATGACTAGTGCAGCAGCTGCTGCTGCAATGGTTGCAGCGGCTGCCACAGTAGCTGCTGAACAACGTCAACTAATTGGGAATAATTTTTTGTCTGAAGTAAGTTGTTCGTTTTTATGTTAGTTTTCTTCTATTGTACACCTTAATTATTTCACTTCTAAATTTTCTCATTATATATATAGTGTATTAACACATCAAGAAATGCAGTTCCGTAGTACAAGGAGATCGAAATATGTTCATATGCCATTAGTTCATTCAGGATTCTGAAGCCCACCCTTACTACTAGCTTGATATCAGGGTTTCATAACTTTCCTAGGTGAATCCTCTGTATCCACCAATATAGTTTAAGCTCCTAATGTTCGTTTTTCATCATTTCACCCTCGTAAAGAACAAAATTTCCACGTAAAGTCAACGAATAGAACTTCCTTGGCAAATGCACTAAACTCACAGCCAAATACTAACATTCTGAGGAAAAACATCACCGTTCTCATCTTTATCAAGGAGTAACAATTAAATGGAATATAGTAACACAGAAATGAACATCATTTAGTTTCATAAGTGATTAGAAGAAACCAGTTTTTTCTGGCCATTTATTTATTTTAACACATAGATATTGGTACAAGGAGGCACCAAAGAGTTATGCGCCACATAAATCATTTGATTTGTGTGAGGGCTAGGATGCTGCCCGGGTGCCTAAACCGAAGCAGGTTGTTTTCTTAGAGTGCCACACCCGGAGCCTTCGACCTGAAAGTCTGATCCACAAGCAATGTCAGATGTAATCCCATTTTAGCCGGTGACCAGTAATTGGTTCATATGCCATTTATTCCTCCAGGATCCTGGAGCCCGTGTGCATCACTGGTTTGGAATCATTGTTTTCCAACTCCCCCAGGTGGACTCCCCGTGTCTATCAACCCGGTTAAAGTGCCTACCACTCACTTAATGTCCAATGAATTAAGATTCAATTGTTAGTCTTGATTGCTTTCTATCTTATCAGTTATATTTTTCTAACTAATATTAATGGTACAAAGTACTCATATTTTTGTTCAAATGTTTTGAAAATTTATTTCTGTTAATAAAAGGAGGTATGTGAAGATTGTTAAGTGTTATTAAGATCATAAACCGATCTAATCTAGAAAACTATATAAAACTAGATAGTTCTGTATTATTTATGAAATTTCTTAACAGTGTGCATTTACCATGAGACTATCAGGTCTTATGACGAGTGTTTAACATTTAGACTATTGAGGTAGTTACCCATTGAAGATAATAGAATATATTTGCCCAGTATTGTGAATTGATTGAAGTTAAATTGAAACTGTTGGGCCAGTGAAATATCACTGAGCTCTAGCCAAGTCATCCGGCAGTTGGGTCACTAAATATTGTACAGGTCGTCGATCTCTGTCAGGGTCAAGGACAACCAACGCATATCAATTAATCGTATATCACGATGCGATGATGGTCTCGCTATCTTCTCTATACTCATTCTTACTAATACATTTCCATAATAACATCCTTTGTGTTATACGGTCTTCAAAGCAACTGTGGTACTTTGATACATTGAAGGGGTAATCCACGTCAAATGCCGACCACGAGGTATAACTTCGAAGTTAGCTAGCTCGTCACACCATTCCCATCTAACTCGAGTAGGCCTCCAATCATTCGACATAGATCATCTATGTTGGTGGTCTACAAAACTACTGACTGTCGGTTCAGTGATTTAAATGTTAAGTGCTCACCGTAAGACCTGCATTTCTTCGGTTCGTTTTTGTTTTGTCATATATCGCTGTTTTGTTTGTGTTAGTCTTATATCCTTACGCTAGCATTTATTATTTCTCTAATAATAATGAATAGGTTAATCATTCAAGTAAACTGGAGAAGCAAAATGCACATCGTACACTTACAGGAAATACTTGTTTGTCAAAAAATTCAGAATGTGATTATCATCGTACATGTTCATCTTCATCATCACATAATGATTTTGCTTCACCATCCTCTTATGAAACTGATAGTCAAATATATTCTTTAGCTCATGATGGATCAAATCGATATACAAAGAAACGTCATAAAACTAAAAGATTGACTACTGTTGATTGTCGTTATTCTGGTTATTCTAGTTTACATCATCATCATCATACCACCGGTTTATCTAGATCTGTTGATGATAATGAAGATGATGATCCTGATGTATACGAAGATGATGATATAGAGTCAACTGCTCTAATGTCACCATCTCCTGAAGTCACTCCTCCGTACAACCTACCAACTAAATTAAGTAAGAGGGAAGGTTTATTAAGTTTATCATATTCACGTCAAGTTGATGATAGCAGTAGACCGCCTTCTTGTGAGACTAGCCCAGATCCATGGAGATCAACAGTTCGTAAAGTTGTTTTATCTAGAACAACTGGTAAAGGTGATTGTCTCGAAAGTCATTCATCTCAGTCGTTAAGTACTCAACAATTTTTGGACAATCAATCTTCTGAACATAGTATGGGATCTTGTTATGTAGCTAACACCAATCCACATCCTGAATCATCGAACACTAACCTAGCTGGCTCTTGTTCTTATCCAATTCGTCGATCAGTTTCAACCGGTGCTCTACCTATAAAAACATCCTGTAAAATTGTGGTTAAAGTACGTTCAAAATCATTTCCAGCTTTAAGTTCTTCACATTCTCATTCAAAAGACGAAAAACGAGCTGTTTTCACTTCATCCAGTTGTAGTCATAGATATAATTCAGCTGAGAATTTTTCTGTCTGCCCAACAATGAGTGGGACATCAACTTTATGTTATTCAAAAAAAAGTGATAGTGCTATAAATAAATTTCAATCGTCCAGATACAGGAATCGAGAATTCAGTAAACGAAAATTTCGTCGAACTATCCATCGGTACTTTACGCAACATCCTAATAATCGTCGTTTCATAATTCAAAGCACACGACCTCTATCAAATGTTTCTCCAACATCTATTCTAAGCGAAGAATATGGTGGACGTGATGAAGGTGATGACCCTGACTATGTCGATCCCGATTATGACGATGAAGATCTCTATGAATTATCCGTCCCGCGAACATCCATTAAACGTTCATCACATGGTATAACAAAATATTCTGCGAAGAGAAAACGCTCTATGTATTCTTCTGCTTCTACATCTAATGTCCATCTTGCCCCACCATCGATTAAACAACAATATGCACTTAGGGTTGAAAATGCTCGTTTACGCCGTAAATTAATCGATTTAATGCGACAACGTGGAGATTTGAGAGCTGCAAATGAAATGCTTCTAGAACAAAATGCAAGATTACGTCAGTCTAGTAAACGTGTTTCTGCAGTTGCACGTATGGCGGAATCTGCTACAAAAATTATAGAAGCCCATAATAAATCTCAACTAGTTCAATCTAATAGTTTTCCATCAAATTCTGGTTCATGTCAATCGACCGTGCCATTTTCAATTGCTCAAGCAGCAGCCGCAGCTGCAGTTGTTGCAGCTGCTGCTCAAAATCAAACAAATGCACCTAATCTAACTGGAGTGTATGTATCTTCTCCAACAGCATCTATTAATCAACAATATTCACCAACTATTAATGGTTTAAGTGGTGGTAGTTCCAATTTACATTCATTATTCCCACAGATCCCATCAGCCAATACAACTGGTATAGCTATTCCATCAAATCAAGGATTGACTGCAGTACAAATTCAAGCTTCTTCTGGAGCATTAGCTACACCACCACAAGCAACTGCATTACTTCATCCACAAACTTTAGATCCTCAACAAACTGATTTATCCAATTACTGTCAACATCAAGTATGTTAGTTTTATTGTTTATGTATTATTTATAAACTTGTCGTTTTTATCAGCTTTTTTTAAAATGACATATACACAGATCAACATGGGTTTTCATATTTTTCTAATGGTTATTTGATTTTCTTTTTGTATAATGTCTAGTAGTGTGAGTTATGAAACTATTGATCACTAACTGATTAAATGACGTTTGGAAAACAGCATCGAATCTTATGAAAACATCGTTAGAATAATCTCTAAAGTGATTGATCCAGTAATTTATTGGTTTCTAAATCCGATAATATTATACTGGCTACGTACTTCAGTTTAGCTAGTCGTCCTTGCCTTAGTAGGTCGATAGGTTTTTCAACTGTTTATTTACTTCACTGAAGGTTCATTCGCTTAGAAGTAACATCACGTTGATGTTTATTTATCTTCACATAGATATTGGTACAAGGAGGCGCCAAATACATATGCGCCATATAAATCTCATTTGATATGTGTGAGGGCTGTGATACTGCCCAGGTGCCCAAACCGATACAGGTGGTTTTCTTAGGGGGCCACACCCGGAGCCTTTTGACCTGAAGGTCTGATCCTCATGGCAGTGTAGCAACGTAAGGAGATACAGTCCCATGGTAGCCGGTGACCAACGATTGGTTCATACACCATTTGTTCCTTCAGAATACTGGGGCCCATGTGCACCATTGGTTTGGAATCAGGGTTTTCCAACTCCTCTAGGTGGACTCTTCATGTTCACCAACCCGATTAAAGCACTGGACATTCGCTTTTCGTCCTCTCAATTTCGTAAACAACAGTAACGCCACGAGAAGGTAGTGTGTAGGTCTTCCCTGGCAGAGGCTATATATGCGTGGCCATGTGAGAGTATTTGGATAGGAAGAGTGGACTCTCCCCACTCTCGGCCGTACCAGGGCATTTGAGGGCTACGTTGATGAGTAACGGTATGTTAATCATGTTCGTTGCTACTGTTTCTGGTCCCGACCATTGCTTTTACTTTGGCGTGTTGGTTTGGCTTGGCAATTTATGGTAGCTCAACCAAGCTATATTGACTTGAACAAATTTTTTTAGAGCTTGTCATGCCAGGCAGGTTGGTTAGGTAACGGAGGAATTGCTAACAGCAATTTAAGATCGAACTAGTACTACTAACTGTAGAGAGGTGTGACAACGATAAGGTGCGTCCTAGAGAAAGCCAGCATCTGCAGCGATCCCGTCTCCTCACATGCGCATATGTATTCGATGCCCCTTTGTACCAATATTTATGTGTTCAAATAAATAAATAATAAAACTGAGAAAATGGAAATTTTTTACTGCGCTTATTTTCATTTAGAGTGATTGACATCTTCTGAATTCCAGAAGTCTTATTATAAAGTTTCAGTTTCTTCTTGAACACATGTATGATACATGTGTCACTTTGTATAATCTCTTACTGAGCCCTTAATTTCATTCGATTCATATTATTTTTTTCTATATTATAGACTCCTGATGTTCGGCCACAAAATCGTTTACTTGAATTATTAACTGAATACTTATCAACCACACAGACTCTAACATCAAATGTTATTTAATATATTCAATTTGAAAATATGTTTTTAATCTTCCTTTAAATCAACTATTACATCGTAATTGTTTCAAATTGATCTAATTTGACTGTCTTATTAATGAGCAGTTAAACAATCGAGAACATAATGTTCTCAAATGTACATTTGAATAAAGATTTGTAGTGCAATGTTGTGTTTTTTTTTTTTAAATACATAATTGTCAATGGATAACTATTGGTAGAGGTTGTGAGTGTTAGGAGATATTCCAAGTAAATATGCTTACTTATGTCGTTTGAATAATAGTAATTTCCTGCAAGAATTGACTGGAGTGGTATAAAACACTAAGGATCATCGTTGAACAATCAATTGAGTGAAACTTGTCACTGTACATCAACTTCCTTGATTATGAAAAGGCATTTGACAGTGTAGACAGAAGGACATTATGGAAACTTCTTCGACACTGCGGAGTTCTTGAGATTGTCAATATTATCCGGAACTCATATGATGGACTACAGTGCAAGGTCGTGCATGGAGGACAGCTGACAGATGTATTCCAAGTAAGGACCGGAGTAGGACAAGACTGTTTACTCTCTCCCTTCTTTTTCCTTCTGGTGGTCCACCGGATTATAAGGATCTCGACATCTGGAGGAAAACGCGGAATACAATGGACAGCTCAAAATCAATTAGACGATTTGGACTTCGCAGATGACCTAGCTCTCCTATCGCATACACACGAACAAATGCAGATAGAGACAGCCAGTGTGGCAGTAGTCTCTGCATCAGTAGGCCTCAACATACCCAATGGGAAAAACAAGGTCCCCAAATACAACACTGAGGACAGCAATCCAATCACTCTTGGTGGCGAAACTCTGGAAGATGTAGAATCCTTCACATACCTATGAGGCATAATCAATGAACAAGGAGGTGCAGATGCAGACGTAAAGGCGAGGATTGGCAAAGCAGTGGCTGCATTCCTACAGTTGAAGAACATATAGAACTCAAAACAACTTCCAACCAATATCAAAGTCACAATCTTCAATACCAACGTCAACACAGTTCTACTGTACGGAGCTGAAACTTGGAGAACTACAACAACCACCATTAAGAAGGTACAAGTATTGATAAATAGCTGTCTTCGCAAGATACTCAACATCCATTGGCCGGATACAATCAGCAACAACCTTTTGTGGGAGAGAACAAACCAGCTTCCAGATGAAGAGGAAATTAGGAAAAGGCGATGGAAATGGATGGGACATACACTACGCAAATCGTCAAACTGCATCACGAGACAAGCACTAACTTGGAATACTGAAGGAAGGTGGAAAAGATGTGAAGGCTTAAAAACGCATTACGCCGAGAAATGAAAGCAGATATGTAAGGGGTCAATAACAAGTGGGAGGAGCTGGAAAGGATTTCCCAGGACAGGGTTGGATGGAGAATGATGGTGAACGGCCTATGCTGGTCGCTATAACCACAAGATATCCGTTCTGGACTCAAACTTCTTAGACTTATCCTTTTAACCAGTTCATGGCCATAAAAATGGAATGTGAATTCAGGTCTCAGTAGATACGAAATTCATTTAGCAGTTTAAGTTAAACCTGCTAGGAGACTTTCAGAACAATAAACTTCCATCATACTTCTAATATACTAGTTGTTTGGCTTTCAATGCTTAATAAAACTAACGAAGTTAACGTCGAGTTTTAAGTTTTTTACACAATTATTTACTTTGCTGATTTATATAACCTATACTCCATGTTAGTGGGGTAATGGCGAGCCTATGACGTGACCAGATAAATGTTTAAACCTGACGAGATCGTCATTAGTGAACTTTATTCCGATAATCCGCTGTGTCCAGTAGGATGTTGTTGTGTTACTCTGATATAACAAACCATGAAGGACTACGTAAAATTAAAAATATGTACAAGCTACTGATCTAGCCATCATCCGAAATGGTTCACAAATTTTTAGAGATACGATTGTCTTGTTGAGTATGTCAAGGAATTTACCATCTTTTCGATTCGTAACTTCAGGTTTTCTTTGTAGATGACTCGTGTTGAAAATCAGTTTCTTCTTCCTGAAGCTAGTGAGCTTAAGATGATCGATTTCTTTGGAAATGTCCAAGGGATTCACGAGAGAAAAGACGCCTGCAACAAAATTGTTGACCTCCGAAATGTGCTGCATATCTGCAGTAAAAAAGGAAGTGTGAACCAGTCGTCAGGACTCCCGAGGAGTGTGCTTGTCTGGATACAAGTCTGGAGAGATGGTTCGAGATTTATGATCGGTAACCAGATCAACTCCTCGGCCTCTTATAGAATGGTGAAAGTGCCGTATTGAACAATAAATGACTAACGAAATTGCGATGCTTCAATGCAGTGTCTTGCAACCGACTAGAGAAGAATGTCAATGGTTGTCGGGTATCGTTTGACCATTTTTATATGTCTCTTCCGATTACTGATTAGGATGTGTATACAACGTTGTTAATAGGTGATTCGACGTCCTAGTGTGTGGGAATTATTACTTGTGCACTACCTCGCTTAACTCTGGAGAATTCTTTTTCGTGTTGTCATTCGAATAGATAATCTCATTTTCATGAAGTTGGTCTGTTAAGAGTTTCATGTAGGACATACATTTCTGTATGAACAGTCGACAAACGTTTTCCAGATAGCAGAGCATGCATAAGTGTTTTGTTGTGGTTGGCTCCAGGTAATTCAGAATGGCTGACAAATTTCTCTCTAGTAGTTGAATACCTTGAGCATCAATCGAGTGTCCTGAAAATTGAAATGATTACGAAGGGAAACGAAGAAATGTTCAAACAAAAAGAGTCATCCGAAGTTCAAAATCTATGTTGTCTTAAATCCAGGGAATTAAATACCAGAATTCGATACTTGATCAGAAATTCCTATCTTTTAGTTATCCTTCAGATATAAGGGCTTAGAAATGGGAGATACACTAGTGACTTCAACTGATCGAATATTTGTGGCTTAAATATTTCTTTTTTACGTCAGTCATCTGACGTTATGCTTAAAACTGATGGCAAAAGATGTCTCCAGTCACTTAGTCTGCCCTAATTCTTAGGAACAACGATATCTCAAACCTCTTTTCTAAGAGTTGTTCCGACGTTGTCATCATTTCACGAGCTTATTTAAGGGATCCTCATCTACTAATCGATTATACCAATACCGGAGAAAGTATCTAGTGAAAAGAATTTGAAAAATTAGACTCTTAGCAATAGTTTCGTTTTTACTACAACCACTCTAAACTACGCCAAAAAAGCATACTGATCCAAATCGCTTTGCCTACAAATGCATATGAATTATTGCTGCAGTTGTTTTGCATCATATGATTGTCCGTTTGAAAAATAGTAAGTGCGTTCCATGAGTATTCTTGGACTACCCTGTATGAACCTGTCTCAAGATCACTACTACCACTACCCAAATCAACACTGACATTTAGATAAACAACGAACTACTCTGAAGGAGAAGAGTACACTGTGACGAATGTCTTAACTAGATCGCGAAGTTACTTTTTTTCATTACCTCTGCATAATTTGGCGGATTCTACGGAAAACAGTATGGGTGGGTGATCTCATTGTATGTACATAAATTTCTGTCCCTACATCACACCATTATTATGTTTTTTTGTATACATAAAATGTTCTTCAGCTCGAGTCAAGATTTCACGAGATAACTCTCAAATGTAGAAATCATCACAATCGACACGTCTTAATTTTTAGATACGATTCTGGATTGACATGAGAGGGAATTTTTCTTTTATGCAAAGTTTTTTATGACAACAAATGTATCATCTACATATCACAGCCGAATTTGTGGTTTAATTTTATTGGCAAAAATATTTCACTCAGTATGTGAAAGGGCTTACACTGAGATATGAAACGTCAGATTGGGATAATACAAATACACTATTTTTATTTATAACAATCTACCCAACATTCAATTTATTTGAAATTATCAGGTCAAACTTTGTTAATAACACCTTTTGATGTTTAGCACGTTAATTTGGTTTGAACCAACCCTTTGGCTCTAGAGAAAAAGTTGAACTGTTTGAGGTATTTTGATATACATTGTTCTCTTTCTCAAATCAGAACCGTTGAAATTGAACTTAGGGTTTGTGTTTCGACATAATTTAACATGAGTAACTCTAAAACGGTCCGTAGGTTATACGGAAGAAGTTACCTTGTCCTAATCAAATAAATTTTGGTTCGTTAATTCTGCATTCGAACCGAACACTGGTATTTTATTCGTTAAAACTATTCAATCGTTACAAACAATAAAGTCAAGAAAATAGTACAAATGTATTGGTGTTGCTTGATAAGCACATGGACTTTAAAACTGAACACATAATTACTGAGATGTAGTGGCACTGGACCCTTACCACACAAACTTTGAAGCCGAGCATATAGTTACAGAAAATATTTATATTCAACATTTGACACGAAGAGAAAGTTAATAAGTGAGGACGCGGGAATATGTAAATCAATTCAATCAAGTGGTATGGATTAAACATGCCGGCCTATTCAGGATTTCCTTGAAGTATCCTACTCATCTGTTCTGCTGTTGTTAAATTTCAGTGACTGGCCTGCCTTCTTTGTCTTTGATCGGTCTCTCTGGTTTACTGTATTTCCCTAATAGTTTCTTTGTTGTATTGTAAAGTTGTTTCATATTTACTTCTCTTGCAGCATTTTCCGCCGTCGTTGCCAGTTCTTCCACGTACTGCTTCTTGTCAGCTCTAACGCTTTTCTTCACTTACTTGTTTGTTTCTATGTATTCAGATTGTGCTTGGACTTTCTGTGCTCGTGTTCGACTGTTGCTAATCGCTGTCTTCTTGTTCTTCCTTTCTTTGATCTTGTTCAGTGTTTCTATAGTGATCCATTCTTTATAATAGTGCTTCTTTAGGCCCCGAACCTCTTGACACGTTAAAGTTAATGCATCTTTGATACCTTTCCAGTTGTCCTCCATAGTAGTTTCTTCCCTCAGTAGATCTTGTGAGGCTCCAAAGCCGAAGTTCGTTTTTTTAGCTAAAATAATTGTTGCTGCCGGCTGTGACTAACTGTCCGTATGTTCGTTCTTTCCTAACTGTCCTTTATGATGTTATCGGCAAAATGAAAGGATGCAGTCTCCGGTTTTTAATTTTCTTCAGTATTATGGACAACACTATCCCACCAACA